TTATTATAAATAGTAAATACAATAACAAATTCATAATGTATTTATTTCAAGTTCTAGAAACAAGTAGAATTAATCTATTATTATACAATGTAATCTCCTTGCTCTCTGTGTAAAAATGTATGAGTTCAGTGACTCATGATAAAATTTACCTCCAATAAGTTTAACTTCTAAGAACACGGGGACTTTTAAATAACAGAACAAATACCATAATATCTAATCATTATAGAACTATTATAAAATGTTGGTACTGTCTTGAGATTTTTGATTCTCTGAAAATCAACTAAGATTACATTTTAAGAATAAATTGTGTCAAAGGAGTGTGTAGAGAAAAATGTATTGAAAAATAAAATGAATCATGGTAGGAATGAGGAGGAAGGCATACATTAAACAGTAGATGCCAATAGTGGTTAAGAAACTTTAAAAACAAGCCTGATTTTACTAGAGACTGTATTTGAGAGATTCATCTGAAGATGTAATACTGGTGAGTTTCCCTTTGGACTTATCCTTGAACAACAGAAAGGAATGAATTTCCATTTCTACTGTAGACATCACAAAACCTCCTTGTTATTTCCCTTTTTTATATCATAGTAAGTTAGTCTTTGATCTTAGCTGCATAATATCTTGTGATTGTCATTAATTTTCTTTTTAAAATTGCCTTTCCACATGTGTGTAATTGATTAAATATTTAGATCCAGTCTGCACATTTAAACTGTCAAAACGCCCCCAGAAAAGGTGAAGAAATTTCATGCTCTCTAAAACTGTGAGAAAAAAATCACTCTCTTGCTAGTATCATTGGGCAGTGCCCAGAAATACGAATGCAAAATAATTCTAAGTAAATGCCAGGACTCAGGATGCACTGCTGATACAGGGTATTGATATGGGTTTACAATTTGATTGTTTCTATTGTTTGTTTTTTTCCTCAAGTGTATGGAGTCCATTACATTTTGGTAAATGATATTTGTCTCACAGTGAGAAAACATATATTCCTTCAGACTACTGCTCCTCATGCAGGGCTCATATTATTTAGATGGAAATTGCTGTTATAAAATGTCCTACATTATCCAGTGCATCTGGCCCTTCTTTTTATAGTTGTTATTGTTCTTATTCCTGTTCTTGTTCTTATTATTTGAAGGAGGAGGTGGAATAGTGATTATTGTTTGCTTATTTGTTTAACTGAATCACTACATTTTGAAATATGAGATTTAGGAAAACAGTAGTGAACATAGAGCAGCATAAATAATTGTGTCTCATATTTTACTTTCTTATGTGAAAAAATATTGTTATTGGTAAATATTTAATATTTAATTATGTGACAAAATATTGATGGATTATTTAGGTTTTAAAGTAAACAGTCATAATAGTCATACTATGTAAACTTTTAAAAAAATAATGCATATATTGAGTAGAACTAGAGTTATTTCAATTAAGGTATTTGAAAAGATAAATCCACTGTGTACAACATATTAGAATTTTTTAACTGATTAAAAACTTGAAAAATAGCTAAATAAAATTTAAAAAAAGAAAAAATAATAAAATTTAAAAAAAGAATTTTTTATCTGATTAAACATTTAGAAAATAAATCAGTGCCTTTGAAACCTATTGAAGAGGGAAGCAGCCAAAGAACAAAATATGTTTACACTTACATGAACAGAAAAATCTCTTTCATCTTTAAGAAATTTCTCTCATTTCTCATAAACAATCTGGAGCCGTTAACAAATACGCTTTTCTTGTTTAGTTTCCTATCTCACCTTTGAGGTGTTGACACCTTATTTTGAGTCAGCAGATGTTCATCTGATTTTCCTTCCCTATCCAAGTGCTCCATCTTCCTCCATTATAATGTAAAAACCCAGCACATTCTTCACCTGTCATATTACGTGATTCCTCGCCCTCTATTTCTTCCTTTCTCCGAACTGCTGAGCCCTAATTTCCTGCCTATCATGCTGCCCTAATTTTTAACAACTTATTTTACTCTCCTGTTTCTTTGGATCTGAATTCGTTTGTCCTTCATCCATCTTACCATTTGAATGTGTAGGTGCATGCACATTTATTCGAGGATCAAAATTGGAAAAGATCATGAAATAGTTACAAAGACACAAGAAAATGCTGTTAACTTTTCTCATTTCTTCTCAACATTTTCCAATTGTATTATTTAAATGAAATTGAAATTTACAGAGCTTTCACATAAATTACAGTATCTTTAAACTGTTTAGAATAGTCCAGGAAAAAGGAATATGCTTTTTCATCATTTTATATCTCAAGAGGGCATAGAGTCAATAATTAATGCACTGTACTTTTCATTATTTCTGGCAAGAAACTCAGGGCAACTGAATATGGAGGTCATGAAGACCACTTAAAATGTTCAAGGGTAGACTTTACAAAAAGTGTTTATATATGATAACATGCTCTTAATTTTAGCATTAAGTAAAATAATAACTCAAGGGTAATTTTTAACAAAAAAATAGTAAGAACCTCCTCAATTTAAATTTTAGAATTTCACAGAATGATTAAAAGCTAGTGATTATTTGATCCCAAATAGGAAACTTGTTTTCCAGGCAGCAAAATGAATTACAAAAATAAGACAAGTTTACTGGAAAAAACTAGAGCTTCAGAGCATGCTGGCTCATGAATATATTTTTGGAGATAAATTATGTGTTCGGACTTCATTCCCCCATCCCTGAGATTCACTTTGCATAAAACAAACAAACAAACAGGCACTAATGCACAAAGTCAATGTCAACATTTTGCTTGGTCCCGTGTTAAAAATGTCCTATCTGGGTTGATGCATTTAAGCAGTGATCTATTCAGCAAGACATTCTTAACACACAGACATGACCCTGCCCAGTCTTCCAGTCCAGGGGTCTGCAGAGGGCCAGTGTGTACATAGTTCAGGCTTTGCAAGCGTACAGTTTCTGTCGCAATTCTTCAACCAGGCCATGTGGAGATACAGCAGCCCTACATGGTATCTAAACACAGGAGCATGTCTATGTTCCAATTAAATTTTACGTACACTCACTAAAATTACAATTTCATGTCATTTTCATGTGTCGCAAAATACTTTTCTTTTCAGTTTTTATTTTTATGATACATTTAAAAGTGTAAAAATAAGTCACTGCATGTGGATCACAGACAATTAGTTCATAGATTTGATTGGTCTAAAACTCTGCTCTTTCCCGAGTGAAACACAATCATAATGCTGGCGAACTTAGCAGTACGGTTGGAAAACTCAGCAGAGTCTTCTGTTAAAAAAATATTTTTTAATTGAAAACTAAGTTTGTTCTTTAGAAGTAGTTAGAATATGGATAACGGATATTCACTCACTGAGCATGCGCCCTGGGCCAAGCATGCTGTAGATAGACTGCAGGCGTGTGAACAGACCTGCGTGCTGAGCATTGGGGATAATGGACTAATAGCAAAGGGTTTACTAACACCCCGGAACACTCAGCTGCTGGGTGGTTGAACTCAGTGCACCGATGCAGGTCTGGTGGATACTCGAAGCCTAGGTTCTGAACTTTCCATGCTATGCTAAAATAAAGTTCATATTAAATTAAGAAAACATATGCAATTTCGTCCCCAAGTAGTAGATAGAGTTCTTCAAAAAAAAATCTGAGATAGATTAGTGGCAACAGAATCTCAGATATCCTTGTGCAGAAAAAAGGCTGCTGCGAAATTCCCTGAAAAGAAGATGAAACCTTCGGAAAAAGGATGCAAGGACAAGTTTAGCCAAATCTCCTCAATATAACCTGACTTGTCCTTTTATGTGTCAGTGGCAAAAAGCCACAGAGTGGTCTGAGTTCAAGACTGCTGCTTACCCCAAATGAAAACCATTGCTAGTAGTGAAGGTATCCTTTGCCCTTCCACAATGTCTTGTTTGTGAAAGCAGAGTGCTCCTGTTTAAGGAAACTGGCAAAAACTTACATTCCCTTCATTTTTGCTGGCTCTGCAAAACATTGTGCACAGCTATACTCAAACCCATTAGATCAACCTTTCAAAAAATTCTCTTACAGAAATTGCTTAAAGGTACCTAGGCTGACAGTTGCTGTGTGTTTTGAGAGCTCTACCTGTCAGAAGCCAGCTCAGCATTCTTTTGCTTAATTGGTCTGTAGAGAGAGAAGTTTCACACCTCAGAGAGAATGACATCCACCTCAGTCCATAATCAGCTAATTTAGAGAATGGGAATACGACCAGCTCCAAGGGACACTTACCTTCCACTCCCTGTTGAGATGAAGCGAGAGGGCTGCAGAGAGCAGCACATCAAGCAACGTGAACTTAAGGGGAGTTGGGGAATTAAAGAAAGAGTTTTCAAAATACATGAAGGCTGTTACTTCAAAATCTAGGCATACAGCACCCCCGAGCTCATCAGATCTCTAAACTGAAAACGGAATATGTCATTTTTATTACCGACCACTGAACAGTGATATTTCAAGTTAGTTATAGCATTGTCTATCAGGTATCATTTTCCTAAGATCAATGGATGGTAGTAGTGGAAAAATGATCAAAAGCGTTCAGCAAATTGGACCTTAATTTAAAAAGCTGTGTTAGAAATCTTTAGGGGTGAGAGAAAGGCAGTGCACACTCACTCCCAAGCAGTTTACTAAAGAGGAAGTTTTGCCTCGTGGGCGGAGGCCTGGGCGTAGGTGCAGGCAGAGCCCAGTCAGCTCCGTGTTGTGCCTCCTTCAAACTACACACATTTGGGCAATTTGATCTCTCTGTGTTCCTATGTCTCTACCCTGAAAAGGAAACTCGATTGAATTTTCTTTCCTGACAAAGTGCAGTTAAAAATCTTCATCTCCAGTATTATCTATTTTTTAAACCAAAGCTTTTTATTTATGATGAACCTGGTGAGGTGCATCTACAAGAATTAATAGTCAAGGATCAAAATGCAACTAGTTGCTAACTATAAAGACAAAACAAAACCCTGGAAATTACATTAAGCAATATAACCTTCATGCTTTAAAATATAACATTTAAGCCTTGCTATTTTGAATTAAAGGAGAGTCCTTATACTTACTGGGCAGGGGAGATACCATGATCACAAAGGTGGTTTTCCCAGGGTGAGGCTTATTCATTGCACTCTGGGTGTGCTGATCCCCGTGATTTCCCTAAATGTGGGAAATTCAACTGTATAAGTTGTGGTAGAAGAGGACTATGTTCATGCTGAGCCCTGAAAAAGAAAAAGAGAGAGAGAGAGAGAGAGAATCCTTAAAGTATTCTGTTGGCAAATCAGTGAGAATATGCAAAGATGACTGATGAATGTCATAATTTCTGTAGAATGTTATACAAAGCTCCTATCATTCACTAGGTGGTTACTAAAGGGCCCATGAATCATCATATAATTCTACTTTATTTTTCAATGAATACACTTTTTGAAAAATAAAGCTGATAAACATGATAAACTCTCACAAAGAAAAATATCAACAAGAGCTGTGTAGGGTACTTAACTTACTGTTTTCTTCACTTCCCACTTCAGAAAATATTATAAAAGTAAGTTAAAACCCCCAAAAGACACTCAAATAGATAAATATTTATTAACCAAACCAGGATGGTTAAAAATTGAAATAGCTAGATATGTTTATAAAATTGTAGCAAATAAAAAAATAATGATGACCCTCATTTCAGAAGAATGAGGCAAAAATGAGTGCATTATAATATAGCAAATAAGAAATGCAAAAAATCAGGACATGCTCTATTAAGCTAGATTTGTAAGCATTTAAAATAAATAGTAAGTGCTTAAATATACAAAATATCACTTAATTGGCATACAAATTTCATTATGTTTTATTATGTGTGTAAATAAGAATGGTTTAGAGTTATAAAGTACTATTCTACAGCTTAATATAAATTATTATGGGGAATATGTTTGTGTTTTTTTAAGTGATGCAAAGCAGCTTGATGTCATCAGATACAAAATAGTGTACCAACAGTTTCACATTGATTTAGCAATTCTTAAATTAGTGAAGAAATAGTTTCATAATCTATGTGTAGTTTAACATGTAATAAAAATAGTCCTGTCAAGGCAAAAATTGTGCAAAGCTAAGTTAAAGAGGCAAGAAAGATCTGAATAAAGTTTATTGTAATGGAGGAGTGAGTAATAGGTCATTTGTGTTTGCTAATGGCCTTACTCAAATGAAAAATAATTTTTGTATCTTTATGAATGGAAGTCATTTTATCACTCGGACCAAGGCCCATTGAAGGTTGGCTTGGCCAAGAAGATGAATAAATTGCATGTGCAAGAAGGTCTGTCTGTAATTTGCAGCAGGAACAGAACAAGGCACATGTGCTCTGCTACTGTAAGCAGACAAATTTTTTATGTAGGAAAATCTAATCTAAAGGAAAGGAGACTGGAGAAAGAATATGAAACCCACTAGACCAGGGTCGGGTTCTTATCTGGAAATATTTCAATATGGGAATAATGAATATGATACATTCCATTTAAATGGAGCTTCCTAAGCCATTTAAAGTTAATGGAAGACCCATGCACATACACGGTGGTATGGGGATTGATGGTGGGTGCACAGGTGGGGCTGGGTGGAGGAGGGCAAAGGGGGACAATTGGAACAGCGGTAGTACAATGGCAATGAAATTAATAATAATGATTTTACATTTTATGTTACTATCAACTATTCTTTAACTAAACTAAAGACTTCCTGAGAACACTGGCAGCTCATGTATTTAATGACTATGTCACTTAAACTATGACTATGAGCCAGGCTCAGTCCACACAGAAAAGTTGAGAATATTTTTGATTTTCTAGAAATGTAAAATATTGTTTTATTAAAGATTCAAATGAAAATCTGAGCTTATTTTTTTACATGTCATGTTCTTAATTACATACTTCTACAGTATTTTATAACAATGTTATATCATGATAGCTTAGAGACCAAGAAAAACTTTTCCTTAACATAAATATTTTGAAAAGTATGGTTCTAATGGCTGCTAATGTAAAATTCTACAGAAAATACAATAAATGTAAATTTTTATCTCCTGCAGAATTCCTCAGAGCCATTAAAATTATAATATGCAGTTTGAATCTCCAAATGGAAATTGAATAGTTTTTCCCAAGATATTTGAACACAGTTTTTCTTTCTTATTCTTTGTCTTGTGATCTCAGGAGACTAAGATTCCTCATCACTTGGAAAATACTGTCTAAAAGTAATCAGTGTGTATGGGAAATGTCATCCGAGTAACTACATGACCAAGACATGAAGTAAGCACCTTCCAGAAATCCCCAAAGTGCTTCATATTCTAGAGAGAGAGTCAACTAGATACTAGGGGAAAAAGATTCTGTTTAGCTAATTAAACAGTAAGATATAAAAACACATGTGGGAACAATTGTATTTGATTTGCCTATACCTTTACGTTAAATGAATATGAACTTCTTCAACACTCAGCATATGTCATTGTCTACTCTTAAGCCTCCTCTATTTAAAGAGCAACGACTGAAGGAATAAAGCAATGAGCACATTCATCCCTAAAGGAAACTTGGTTGCTAATGAAAAGTATTTCAGGTTTTACTTCAGAAACAGTTTTATGTGAAAAATACTTGAACCTGTAGTTTCTTTGTCTTTTATAACTTTGAAAAGTCCGAGAAGATAATAAATTATATACTTTTTTTTTCAAAAGAGAACTAGACACAAATTGACTTCAATATATTTCACACATTTAATGGGATAGAAACAAAGACAATACATTATGTAGGAGAAGCTGAGCAGTACTACAGCCTAATGAATAAGAAAAAAAAAATTCAGTGCAGCCTGAAGGAACCAAAGGTACTTTTCATCTCAGAACAACTCACTGATGTTCTAGCTTGTTTATTCATTCACTTGCCTGTTAACTCCCAGTGAACCAAGTCACTTTGCGTTTCTACCTCAATGCCCTACTTTGCAGAGAGTTTTCTATGAACCACACCCATACCTTACTAAATGCCAAATCTCTAAAATAATGACACCCAACAACTCGTCATTGAGTCTGTCATGTTCCAACATTTAGCCAACCCTGTGGACTATACTACTTTGGGAAGATTTCATGGAAGAGAAATTCTACGTGGGGATGAGAGAATGAATAAGACCTAGAGAAATAGTTGCTAAGCAGGGAGAACATAAGATCAGCAATGGATAAAAATGGATGATGGAGTTAAGGCATAGCAAAAAGACCAATGTGACGGGTTCAGTGACATAGAAAAGTGGTAACTATAGTGTTTTCCTAGAAATTCACTAAGATTGGCCAGAGATTTACTGTAAGTAACCCTGAAGTTTAGATGTTAACAAATCAACAATTCCACACCACTGAGGACTTTTAAGGAACAAAGACAAAGCAGTTTTAGAAAATATAATCTGGCTACTAGGTGCGTGTGGGGTTGAACAGAAAGTAATTCAGAGTCCATAGGAAATATCTATTTATAAAAATCAAACATCAATTTTTAAGAAACTTAATTATATTCTTGGTCATGGGAAGGAGACAGAGAGGTTATTCTGGGAGACAAGCACAGCTACTTTTTCTAATACCAACCAAAAACTATCATAGGGTCGGGGTGAGGGGTCAGCAGAGAGAACAGAGTTGATTTTAGTTCCAGATCATCAAACCCATCCAAACAATAAAATCCCCAATGAAACTTAAAAAAAAAAACTCTTCTAAGAGGATGCCCACTGGTTGATGTTTAGACTTGTAGACAAGGACGCGATGATAGAATAAAATCTTATAAATGTGGACTAGGTAGTATATGAAAATTGATTGAAACCTAGGGGAAAACCTAGGGAAAAATGTAACAGTTATCATCACTGAAAACCATAGATGTGACAATGAGTGGTATATCTGAATGAATAAAGGCAGAATATAAATTGCAAGAAAGTCTACAACTAAATTTTGATATGTATTGAACATAAAAGAGATAGAAAAATGTCCAAATAAGAGGAGCTCTAGAATAATGTAATTCAAACACACATACACACACACAATACAATCAAAATTGAGCCAACCTGTAATATGCAGTAGTAATACCAATGCAGAACTAAGGAAAGATCCATGTGAAATAAGCAGATGAAACTTAAATAACTGAAACAAAATACTTTTCTATTCCTGCATTAAACAATATTGGGTCTAGTAATACTTCCATGCATAAACAATTCTTGGAAGAAATAAAATGTCCTGTTCTTTGCTAAGCAATATTGAAAGCAGGTTAATAATAACTCAAATGCTCACCGCAGGAAATACCAGTTCCTAGAAAGCAAGGCACCAAAACAACTCAACAGCTTACTGATAATGATGCATTTTAATTTCCTCATGTTGCTTGTGCCCCTCGATCCAAAAATTTTGTCATAATAGTAATCCAGCAACTGTCCACTCCCATAAAACTCACCCTCAAATTATTCAACTCTAGTCCTAAAACCCTAACTATAGCATAACCTCATTCCTCTTTTCAGACACTAATAAGCTCTCTCCTGCACCAAGTTTTCCTGCACCAACAGACAAGGGCTGTTGGAGCTCTTACAGTCAAAGTGACCTCGACAGTACACTGTCCCTAGGAGGAGGTGTGGGAAAAGACTCAGAGGGGTCCACCACATTGTGCTGCCCTGTACTCCATGCTCTAAAAGCCACATGATTGGTGACTTCTGGGCTAAATACTGGGAGTAATAGCAACGAGAGTCTGGGCACCCCACATTCTTCTGTCTGGGGCTCAGAGCAGCAAAGATCATTACAGACAGTTGGTTTATCACTTACTTTTTCCAGTTCACAGTTTTCTTGAATGATACAGTTTTCATTATTGTTTGAAAGCTTTCTGAAATTGCTGTGGGCAGTAATTTCACCACACCAGCCAGGGCAGATTATATAGTTTTCAAGTGTACATGTCTGTGATACATGATCTGTACATTGTGTTGCATGCACACCACCCAAAATTATGTGATCTTCTCCCACCATATATTCAGCCTCCTTTACCTTTCCTACATCCCCCTACCCCCATTCACTCTGGTAACTATACCATACTATAATCTGTGTCTATGAATTTCAATTTTTCTATATCATACATAAGTAAAATCATATGATACTTAACTTTTTCTGACTGTTATTTTCCTTAGCATACTATTCTCAAAGGTCATCCATGTTGTCAAAAATGACAATGAGATAGCATCCCCCACACCTGTTAGAATGCCTATTATTGACAAGACAGGTA